ACTCATACCCAGGCCAGTGTCCGACCCAATGAGGATGATGCAACCATACCAGAATACATAGGTTGGGAGTCCCAGCTCTGGTGGTCAGTTCCAGCTGCCTGCCAATGCAGACCTAGGGAAGTAGCAGGTGACAGCATCGGGTCCCTGTCACCCAATGGGAGAACCAGACTGAGCGCACAGCCCAGCACTGACTTGCAGGCATTTAGAGAATGAGCCAGAACTGGGAGCTCTGTCTATCTCTCTGCCTCTCAAATAAATAAATAAAAAGTAAGAGCAAATAAAAATGTATTAAGAAAAACCTATAAACCCCATTCTGAAAGCTACCTAATGTAATAAAAAGAAAAAATGGCAAGATAATAAGTGATATCTAAAAGAAAATTGACTCTTAAGAAATTCAAGGATACCCTTCAGTGGTCAATGTTTTGTAGCACATATGGTCTTTTTGAGTATCATAATGATCTTGATACAGTAGCATAAATGTAAGTAAACTACAGCAAAGAAATGAAAGTGAAGAAAGAATTTTTAAAAGAACTAAGTAAAAATTAATTGAGCCTGAAGTGATTTAGTTGCTCCAGTTTGCTGTAAAAATTCTTTGTTCTATTTCTTTGTTGGATTCATGAGTGGACTGATGGGTTAGGAAATTCAGCAATATATGAATAAATCAAGTCCTTTGAGTTTTCTCTAAGGCATATAGATGTCCTTTTTTTTTAAAGATTTATTTATTTTTATTGCAAAGTCAGATATACAGAGAGAAGAAGAGACTGAAAGGAAGATCTTCGTCCAGTGATTCACTGTCCAAGTGGCCGCAACAGCTAGAGCTGAACCAATCCAAAACCAGGAGCCTGGAGCCTCTTCCAGGTCTCCTGCATTGGTGCAGGGTCCCAAGGTTTTGGGCCTTGCTTAACTGCTTTCCCAGGCTACAAGCAGGGAGCTGGATGGGAGGCGGGGCTGCCAGAACACGAACTTGAGGCCATGTGGGATCCCAGTGCATTCAAGGTGAGGACTTTAGCTGCTAGGCTACTGCGCTGAGCCAAAGGTACATAGATATTTTAAACCCTTTAAGATTATGTCATTTTTCTAAACTTAACTAAATATAACTATACATGGCAAAACAGATGATTAATAATAGAAAGAAATTGTCTGAGGTAATCGCATCCATTAGGGACTTAAATAATATAAGTATTTCATTTAGTTAGATGTTCTGCCACATTTTGTAGACTTATATAAAGGCTTTTATTTTTAAGATTTGTTTATTTTTATTTGAAAGGCAGATTTTACAGAGAAGAGATAGAAAAAGTCGTTCATCTGCTGGTTCACTTCCCAAATGCTGCAATTGCTGGAGCTGAGCCAACATGAGATCAAGAGCCAGGAGCTTCCTTCAGGTTTCCCACATGGGTACAGAGTCCCAAGGACTTTGGCTATTCTCTGCTGCTTTTCTTGGCCACAATCAGAGAACTGGATGGGAGGGGTGCAGCTCGAACCTGAACCAGTGCCCGGATGAGATGCCAGCACCAGAGTGGAGGATTAGCTTGCTGTGCCACAGTGCAGACCCTAGGGTTATAGTTTTACGCCAATCTGTAAATCCATCTTAATCTGATTTGTAGGTAAAGGAAATTCCCTTTGCACCCAGAGCTTGAAACAATTTGTGGTGATGTTTAGTTTCATTTATCACATTTGTAACTTGTACCTTGAGCATGGCTTAGAACAGGCCAGATCTCCCAAGAATGAACAAACACCTTTTGGCTGTTCATTTTGGGTATGTATTGGATGTAATACATGTAATTGGCCTGCTCAATGGTGACACTTAGAATTACTCGCTGTTTCTGTGTGTCTGTTAGTGGATGCTCAGCTCTCATCACCCCTCTGTTGATATTCTTAAAACTCGTGACCATGAGCTCTCCACTCAGGGAAAATCTGCTTTCCTGTCTTTCACCTCTTATAATGCTCTTGGTGTTTTCCCAAAGCCTTCTGAAATATTGCCTATTTCTAATGGCAAACTGCTTTAGCTGGAAAAATCAAGCTCAACTCATTTTAAGCTTGTGGAAATAAATGCACTATGATGATAGAATAAGAGCTAAATTTGACTTGAATGACTCTGAGTTTTTCTAATGGGACCTGGCATGGTAATCTAGTGGCTAAAGTCCACCTTGTATGTGCTGGAATCCCATATGGATGCTGGTATATATCTTGGCTGCTCCACTTCCCATCCAGCTCCCTGTTTTGTGGCCTGGGAAAATTGCTGAGGATGGCCCAAAACCTTGGGACCCTGCACCTGCATGGGAAGTCTGGAAGAAGCTCTGATCTGGCTTTGGATCAGTTCAGCTCCAGCCATGTGGCATTTTGAGGAGTGTACCAGTGTATGGAAGATCTTAGTCTCTCCTCTCTGTAAATCTGACTTTCCAATAAAATAAATCTTAAAAAAAAAAAAAAGTCCTAATGGATTTGGGGACCCTTATAAAAATAGATGGTTCTTGAATGGACTGTCCCCCTTCTGAAAGTCCCTCAGTGAAAAGCTTTCTTTGACAACTGAGAAGATTTGCGTGATCAACTGGGCAACGCCTGGCAGAGTTTGCAAGCCACACATCTGATCCTTGGCTTGGCAGCTTAGCCATGCTGTATTTACAGTAGCATTTCCCACATTTCTCAGAGTGATGGGTAAGAGCATTTTACAAGCAGTTTGTTTGGTTCAGCGGTCACTATGCTTCTGGAAGTACCCACACCCCCTGCTGGAGTGCCTGGGTTTGAGTCCCAACTCTGCTGCAACTTTCTGTTCATGTGTACCCTGGGAGGCAGCAGCTGGGGCTCAAGTATGCCACCACCATTTGAACTTCAGTTCCAATCCCAGCTATTCCACTTCTGATCCAGTGCCCTCCTAAGCTGCCTGGAAAAGCAGCAGAGGAAGATCCAAGTGTTCAGGGCCCTGCCATTCAGATGGAGTTCTAGGATACTGGTTTTGGCCTTGCGCAGCCACAGCCATCAGTGTCATTTGGGGAATGAACCAGCAGATGGAACATACTGGTCTGTCTTCCTATAACTCTGCCCTCCAAATAAATATTTTTTAAATGGCAGGGAATTTTTGTAAATGATTTAAGTACTTGAGTCCTTGCCAGACATGGTTTACAGTTTTTTGCTTGTGGCTTCAGCCTAGCCCAGCCCCAGCTGCTGGTATTTGGTGAGTGCACCAATAGATGGGAGCTCTCTCTCCCTGTTCTCTCTGTCTTACAAATAAATAAAACTAATAAATTTGTTTGTGAAAAATTGGCATTAAAAATGAGTGTGTTTCTGTGTGCCCCACAGAAATTTAAGCCACACACAGTTTTTCCATAATGCTTATTTTTTACATACCATGAGGGGAAAATTTTATACCAGTAATTTATTTTGCACCAAAATAAAGTCACTCTTGTAATACCATCTTTCCATGGAGTTCTGAAGTCCCTCCTGTTTACTAGATTCCCAAGTTCTTCATTTACAGTAAAAGTTGCTGCCACCCACAAAGATTCCTAAAGTTGGTTAGGACCAACCATACTCGGAGTTTGGAGGCCAGTTTGCATCCTAACGTACACTTGCTAATTTGTGTCATCTTGGTTAGGTGAATTACTTCACCGCTCTGATTCTGTACAGGACCTCTCCATGGCCTTCGTGGGGTTTATTTTATCATCATGAAATGCTGAGGATGCTCAGCGTCTAGTGAGTGCTCAGTATGTATCAGTGATTCCTGCAATGTGTTTGGAGCCAAGGTTAGGAGAAAGGTGCTTGAGGAGTGTAAAATTAGAAGAGAAACAAATATTCTTTAGGCCATCATATGCAGGGATGGATAAGAATGGATGCCTTCAGTTGATGATTCTTCTGTCTACTTTTTAGTTTTTAGGATTTATGGATCTACCTTGAAGGAGAGGAGAGAGAGAGAGAGAGAGAGAGCTTCTAACCACTAGTTCACTTCTCAGATGACCTCAGTGGCCAACCATGGGCGAAGCTGAAGCCAGGAGCTTCATCAGGGTCCCCACGTGAGTGACAGGGGCCCAAATATTTAGGTCATCTTCCCATGCTTCTCCAGACCATTAGGAGGGAGCTCTATCAGGACTCTATCAACCAGGACTTGAACTGGCATCACAGGTGGTGGTGGTGCCCATGATGCCACAATGCCATTCCCACTTTTGTCTGCTCGATCAATGAGTTGCTTTACTTGGCTTACCTATAAGGTCACCATGAATTGAGGACACCCGCAGCGATGGGGCTTCAAAGACA